ATCATGCGGATGCCTATTTTCATTTCTGTATTTATCCTCCACACATGAAATTTCTCAGGTTTGCCGATCAGGGCACAGCCTACGAGTTTCAAACCATCCCGTTCGGGCTGTCATTAGCACCGAGGGTAATCACCAAATGTGTGGAGGCAGCGCTGCCCTCACTTGAGGATTCGCGGGATCAGAATTTTCTCTTACATGTGTGGCAAGGTGGATTAACGAGGGCCCGGGCGGGATTCGATCCCCAGACTCCTGGGTGAGAGTCATACTCTCTAACCAGTCAGCCAAAGGGACATCCCCGTGGCCAAGTAGCCAGGGCGCATGATCAATCGGGACACTGTGACAGGACGCTCACACTGTCACACATAGACGATTATCTGATTTGCGCTCCCTCCCCGGAGCTAGCAACCAGCGACATGCTGGTGGTGTTGAACCATCTGACTGACCTGGGTTTCAAAATAAACTGGACAAAGAGCAGTTTATTCCCCAGACAGTGCACATAATATCGGAGTCTTCAGATAAACTCACTCTCTTCTCGCTGTCAGAAGAGAGGATCGCGTCTTTCACACAGTGTGTCGCACGCTTTCAGCTAGGAAACCATGTCTCGTACAGACGTTGCCTGCACCTTCTCGGCCTCATGGCATCAATGACTTCAGTGGTGCGACTAGGGCTTCTCAATTCCCTTCTTGCATTAACGGTAAGAAATCTTACGAATCAGTAGGAGGGGTTGCTTGGCCATGGATATACTGGGTGGGCGGAGCCTGGGCACGGCACAACCGGTCCGTCAGGGACAGACGTGGTGTCACTGGAGCTTCCGTAGTTGGTCACGCCAGGGCGATTCCCATAGTGAAACACCTCACTCTGTTTTCAAAGAACCGGGGGTTTACATAACGTAACCATGGCCAGATCTGTACCTTGCCACAATTCTGTCTCTGAGCTCTTCAGGCAGTTCCTTTGACCTCATCATTCTCATTTGCTCTGGCATGCATTGTTTGCTGTAAGGTCTTACATTGACAGGTGTGTGGCTTTCCTAATCAGGTCCAATTAGTAAAATCACACACAGCTGGACTCCAATGAAGATGTAGGACCATTCTTAAGCATGATTATATGTTCTTGGTTTGTTTTCTGATCTGGTATTGAACTTGGGTCCAAATCTGGACATTTTTGTTGTACAACAGAAATGTTGAAATACTAAAATAGTGCTGTACTGAAGAAGCGAGACAGAATGAGACCCATATTTACCGCCTTCTGCAAAAGACGGAAAGTAAGTGGCGATTGTTAAAAGGAGACTATGCCGTTGTGGCTTGCTTTTAGCACCCGTAGTGTCCGTTTAGTAGAACCAAAAGCTAAATCTATCTTCATCATGATCCAAAACATGCAGGCAACGTGCTGTAACCTGAATGCAGTGCTAGGTATGTCAGCTCAATTTTTTCTGAGTCCCAACAGACCGGACCGGCACCTCTAAAGTTGAAAGTGGAATATTCTGGCCACAGGGGGCGGTGGGGACTGGGTTGTCTTTCATTAACCCTGTAAAGGGTCCATTTAGCACAGACTGGCTCAAGAAAATAATTAAAAATATGAAATAGTTGCAAAGTATCCCTTTAATGTGTTTGCTTATTTTATCTGTGTGCCCTTTAGGAAAATATTTTACAAACTGCTGGATGGATGTTAATGAATCTCTCAGAAACTCTTCACTGATTGCTCATCTACAACTGTTCAATCATTCTAATTCAAGATGGCCACCACAGTCAAATTAATTTGAAAAACACAAAAACAGATAAAACTCAGTCGATCTACACAAACTGAGCTAAACCTTGGTCATGTAATGGCTAAAAGTCACACGCATCACATACTCTGAGTGCAAACTAAAGAATCATTAACATCAACTACTGGAATCAACCCCGTCAGTCTGTTACTAAAATCATCAGGAGAGAGGCGAGGAACACGCCACCTCAGGAACTTCTCTCACAGGATGCCTCACACATAGAACAGTTTAATAAAGTTATCCGTTTAGACTCGGACCTGAAAATCTCTCACTCATCAACCTTAAGGTACATGTGTTTAATAACTGCACTATTATTCATGCCGCCCACTGATAGTTGAAACAAAAACATGGGATACAAGAGGTCATCAACTCAAAGTTACCTCTTCAATTCAAGCTCACTGTGAAAACTCAGCCCAGAGAATGAAGCTTACTGAAGTCACAGTCAAGTCCATAAACAAGCCAAAATGAGTAGTTTCTTCCAAGTAGTTACAGTTCCTGCGGATTAACTATTATGATCTTTATTATTTCTGATTGCTTCACCAGCTGTGGCCTCGGAGGCCTTTCATCACAACCACAAGACCCTGATTAAAGACAAGGAAATGGAGATTGTAGTAATAATATCAGCTTCCACACAACTCTAAGCTGTGAATATGAACTTTTGTTTATAAAAGTGGCTTTGCTCAGCTCAGCTTTCCTTTGAGAAAGTAATGCCCAGGAATCCTACTTATACAATGGACTTGGGTTAGAGCTGCTCCACTGATCCAAAGAAGTAAAACCAACAATGTTAGAGCAGATGCATGCATACAACAGTCAACAGAGAGTCACAGACACAAACAAGGCTTACCTACCGCACCAACATATCTGGTTCTAGTGTAAACAACACAAGTGTATGCTCAAAAGGGGTACTTTCCATGCTAGTATTCTGTGAATGTTTTACTACTTTGTTTAATGAATTTGAATGTGGAAGAGTGGACATGAATGAGATGAGATGCACATTCTTAAGTGAAAACAATTTGGGTTGTGAATTATTCAACTGGAGTAAACTCAGACAGACATAAGGTCTTTGATTTCGGGGTTTCAGCGGTTTAGTTTCTACTCACTGGGGCTAAAAAGCCTCAGGTGGCAAAATTAAAACATCTACTCTTATTTACGCTGTTTGTGGCATTATTGCTGCACTGGTTAGAACAGCGGTTCCCAAACTTATTTAGCCGAGCACCCCCTTCTATGTCCCGACCATGTTGATGCACCCCCCAGCCCCACATCAGGGCATGGCTATGTATATATATATATATATATATATATATATATATATATATATACATATATATATATATATGTATATATATATATATATATATATATATATATATATAATCAAACGTCACGCTAAACCAGGGGTCGGCAACCTGTTCCCATCAAAGAGCCATTATTACCCGTTTCCCACAGTAAAGAAAGCACCGCAGCAGCCGCGGCGTTGTGGGCGGGGCCTACCCTCAGACAGCAGAGAGCTGCTAACAACAGGTGACAGCAGCCGGTACCGGTCGCTCGTGTACGTCAAAGTTATCTTTCATAAGACGATAATCAATAAAATGATTTATATAAAGTGGATCCAGAAGTTGTAGCCCGCCTCTGCTACAATATTTTGATATTTTTCACCCTGTTGGTGGTTTTACTGAGCAGGTGCCACTTTTGTCATACGTTTCTTTTTAAAACATGTTTAGACTGTTCAGAATACAAATCCAGGCTCTGTCATGTTTGATTGTTGTAATTAAACTTTGTAGGTGGGGAAGGTCAGAAAAGGATCCGATCATTTTGTTTTCCCTCATTTACAGTGACGGAGATAACGGCGCAGTGCGCCTGGCTCTGGTGGTAATCAAGTTAAATTATATCTCTTTGCAACAATTTTCACAAGAAAACAGAACAGTTAAAAGCAGGGCTAGTATTGACTGGACAATTCCCGTATTTGACCGTTTATTTTGACGGAGAAAGAATAGAAAGAATTACCCCGACGCATGCAGACAAACTGACACTTTATTTGTTACGCACATCGCAGATGTAGCTAAATCACTCAAAAAAAGATTCCCATCTGAACATCTGAGCTGGACACTGCTCAGCGCAGCTCACTGTCAGCGTGTACTACATGAGGTCCACAGTGAGCTGAAGATGTGGAGAGGGGCTTGGAACACGTTGCAGAACCAGAGCGCATGCGGGAAGATTCCTTCCACTGAAGCGAGAGTTTTCCAAACCCGGTCTCTCAGAGAGACTTGTCACTTAGAAAATGTTCCCTGATTATGAAACTTTGGCTGAATAGCGCTTGTTCCTGTCTCCAATGTGGCGACGCATCCAGGAGCCGTCTGAGGAGAATCCCAGAATCTCACATCGTCTTCAGCTCAGAAAGCGCTGATATGATTACGCACAAGCGTGACGCATCAACCCGGTCTCACAGTAGACCGGGTTGGACCTGTTCAGGTTTACGCAGACAATCTTTACATTTAGAATTAGCTTATAGATGTAAAATTTATGCAGTAAAATATAAAGCATTTTATTTAAATATCCATTCATTATTTTACAAGCACAGATGGATGGAAGAGCCGCGGATTGCCAACCCCTGAGCTAGGGCATGTGCGGAGGACACACACACACACACACACACACACACACACACACACACAAGCAAAATATACTTGTTTTCAATTACGTTTATTGGGCCCACTTACATTTTCTTAGGCCCACCCACAAATGAGTTTCTGGCTACGCTAATGGTGACTTTTGACAGACTTCTCCGAGCTCTGCAGCCATTACACTTTTCACCTCGCGCACCCCCTAGGGGCACCCCCAGGGGTGCGCGCAACACACTTTGGGAATCCCTGGGTTAGAATGTTATGGTGAGCTGAGGACAAGAGGTCTGTTGCAAAACAATATCCAAATGGCTTCTGTGGTTAATTAAAAAAAAGCGTTCCATGTTTTCTTGGTTCATGATAGATATTAATTTATTTGACAAGAACAATTAATGAGTCTCAAGATAGCTAGCCTTCCATATTTTACTTTTTGCAAATTCCTGGAACACCTGGCGCTGAATTTATATCATTTATTATTTTTGCAACATCTTTGAGGGATGCATTTAAGGTTGGTAAGTAAAAGCAAAACAGTTTTAAACGTTAAAATTTTAACTAAACTGCTAACTTCTATTATAGCACATTTAAATATGAGAGCCGTGAGAAATGACACAAAACCTTACCAGAATTTCAGTGCATCTTTGGTGCTTTGACTAGGGTGGTGCTGCACGTAATGGAAGAGACAGAGGAAATTCTCCAGACTCTGAAGGCTGACCTGATAAGAGACACACAAACGAGAAGCAAGAGTAAACAACGTGACGACTTCTCGTAAAAATCAGGGGAACTGAAATATTGAATGCCGTTAAGAAAACCACGTTCTGTTCTGTGACTGACGTTGTTCCTCCAGGTTTTTAAAACACTCGATTTATGTGAAATGCAGTGATGAAAGTCGGTACACGGCTTTTCTCTTTTTAAACCAGCCAAGTCAATCGTAAACAAAGATGAAAACAACTGCGTTAAGAAGCAAGGACCGTGTAAAGATGACATCGCAGGTGTCAGAGGCAGATCAGGCAGTAAGAAGCTCTCCCAACAAACTGGGACTTTCTTAATGGAGAGACGAGGCACCTGACCTCAATTTAACAGCATTACAGCTTTCAGGGAAGTGTGCTAATACCTTCCCGACAAATGGGTGAGTCACTAAACCAGCCTGCTGCTCTCATCACAGCACACAGGAGGCTAGCTTTACTCTTCTGTTAATCTGACACCACTGATTCATTTAAGGCAACGCTGATCCCTGACTGATGTGGCTGCTCTGACCGTCTGGGTCGAGGAGAACAGGTCACTATTGTATCAGTCACATCTCAAACAATCAGAGCTACGATCAGCCTGACAAAGAAACTGAAAAAATCTGACCGAGTTGACTGAAAAAATAAATAAATAAAAGAAATCTGAATAAAAAGACACACCTATGTTCATCACAGTCTCCATTAGTGTACAAAGACCATGTAGAGAAAAACATTTACCTAAAATATAAAGAATACTCCTTAAAACTGTAATGTGGTCACTGAATGTTTCAATACAGGTTGTACAATCACCGGCCAATTTATTAGGTCAGAATTTAGTATTCTGTAATTTAGTAATATTGGCGTTAAAATTTAATATCAGACAATCTCAGTATTTTTTTTACTCGCACAACTTTTACATACCATGCACATACAGTACTGTGCAAAAGTTTTAGGCATGTGTGAAAAGATGCTATAAACAAAAAATGCTTTAAAAAATGGGCGTTAGTCATTTACTTTCATCAATCAACCAAAAGCAGTGAATGAACTAAAGAAAATTCTAAATTAAATCAATAAATGGTGTGGCCCCCTCTGCCTTCAAAAGAGCACCAGTTCTTTAAGTTACGCTTGAACACAGCTGCTGAAGGAACTGGGCTGGCAGGTTGGTCCAGACATCTTGGAGAACTAACCACAGATCTTCTGTAGATGTAGGCTTCCTCTCATCCTTCCATCTTTAAAGTGATCCCAGACACACTCCATGATCAGGGCTCTGTCGGGAGCCAGACCATCACTTCCAGGATTTCTGGTCCTTCAGCCTCCATTACCACATTCAAAACCCACCTGTTCACACTTGCATGCCGACTCTCTTCAGAAAGTTCTCACTAACGCCCACTCGTAGGTTTACATGTGGATTTTACTACTTTCAATGATCTTGTTTCTATAATTTAAATTCTGTTTTTACTATCTGTAAAGCAACCTTGGGGGACTTGAAAGGAGCCATTAAATGAAATATATTATTATTATTTACCCTGAAGATGGTTCTTAATGATTTTGGCTGGATGTTTGGGGTCACACATTTTACATTTCGTAAAATAATAAAAAAATAATCAGTCATTATTTATATTTCTGAAAGCATTTTTTGTTTACGTTATCCACACCTGCCTTAAACCTTTGCACTGTACTGTATTTGACATCAAACTCTTCAGCTACTTCTCCTCTAGATTAAAATGCCAAAATGACTGATCTGAGGTAAAGTTTGAGATATTTTCATTTGTTTTGCACAACTGGCCAAACTTAGATGGAACACAAAATGTTCAAAGTTTAAACATGATAGGAGAAATGTGATGTTAGTTACCTATAGTAGAGCCCTGCATGGGCCTAAAATCTGAGCCCGTGTCCGGCACGGCCCGAGGGGGTGGAGCCCCAGCCCGACACGGTCCGAAAAGATTTTCAGGATTCTCTGGCCCGACCCGAGCCCGACTTTTTTTTAACCAACTAAATTAAAACAAAGTGCGTCAATCCTGACCAATGTGTTAAAAGGCGTGCAGGATCAGATCAATTTGTTTTTCCCTCGTTTACCATCACGGAGATGACGGCGCACTGGCTCTGGTGGTAATCAAGTTAAATTTTATCTCTTTGCAACAATTTTCACAAGAAAACAGAACAGTTAAAAGCAGGGCTTGTGTTGAACGGATAGTTCCCGTATTTGACCGTTTATTTTGACGGAGAAAGAATAGAAAGAATTACCCCGACGCATGCAGACGAACTGACATTTTATTCTACGCACATCGCAGATGTAGCTAAATCACTCAAGAAAAGATTCCCATCTGAACATCTGAGCTGGACACTGCTCAGCGCAGCTCGCTGTCAGCGTGTACTACATAAGGTACACAGCGAGCTGAAGATGTGGAGAGGGGCTTGGAGCGCGTTGCAGAACCAGAGTGCAAGCGGGAAGATTCCTCCCACTGAAGCGAGTGTTTTCCAAACCCGGTCTCTCAGAGAGACTTGTCACTTAGAAAATGTTCCCTGATTATGAAAATTTGGCTGAATAGCGCTTGTTCCTGTCTCCAATGTGGCGACGCATCCAGGAGCCGTCTGAGGAGAATCCCAGAATCTCACATCCTCTTCAGCTCAGAAAGCGCCGATATGATTACGCACAAGCGTGACGCGTCAACCCGGTCTCACAGTAGACCGGATTGGGCCTGTTCAGGTTTACGCAGACAATCTTTACATAGAATTGACTTACAGATATAAAATTAATGCAGTAAAATATAAAGCATTTTATTTAAATATACAATCATTATTTTACAAGCACAGAGAGCCGCATCAGATTCAGATCAGCGGGAAGATTCCTCTGAATGAATTCAGTCGGAGGAACCTTCCTGCATGTGCTCTGGTTCTGCGACGCGCTCCAAGTCCCTCTCCACATCTTCAGCTCGCTGTGTACCTTATGTAGTACACGCTGACAGCGAGCTGCGCTGAGCGGTGTCCAGCTCAGATGTTCAGATGGGAATCTTTTCTTGAGTGATTTAGCTACATCTGCGATTTGCGTAGAATAAAATGTCAGTTCGTCTGCATGCGTCAGGGTAATTCTTTCTCCGCCAAAATAAATGGTCAAATACGTGAACTGACCTATAGGGATTCAGCTTTTTTATGGGGGGGGGGGGGGGGGGGGGTATTGTGGTATCAATTTATTTTAGTATAAAAAATTAAGAGTTATACCGTATCGGTATATTTGTGGAAAGCTGATATTGAACATCCCTAATAAAGAAGATTGCGGGTGAAAAATCCCAGTAGATCAGCAGTTTCCTAACTAGCCAGACCCACAATCACGCCATGTTTAAAGTGACGTAACCCTACTTTCTGATGCTCGGTTTGAAGTTCACCTTCTAGATGAATAAATGAACAGAGTTTCTACCGTACACAGAGCTATAGCTGACTAATCAGATCAAATATTCGTGCTGCTCCTAATAAAGTGGCCGGTCATTGGCTAGGCTTATCAGCATGGCAATCAATTCAGACCATTCTTCATTTTTCAAAGACATCTTGACAAAAAAATGAAAAATAAAAATAGCAGAGCAGTTAAAACTTTGCATTTAGGGTAGAGAGTTGTTGGCATAAAAGTTTGTGGACTCCCTGAAAACAGGATTTTCTCTCTTCTTGTTTTTTTAAAAATAGCAGAAGCAGACCCTTAAGATGGATGGATGGATGGAGCAGACCCCTTAAGAAGAGAAGCTGACATGCAGTATTTCTTTTTTTTTTTTACATTTTCCACAGATAAGCATGCAAACCACTTTTATGTACCCAAACAGAGAAGTATTCTGGTTAAAGATTAATCAAAGTGGCACAAACATGACTTTGTGAAGCACGTGTTAAGATTTTTTTAAGTCTCATCAAAATTCTTATAACCGGACTGAAAAGAACATTAAAATGAAAAATGTCATGTTTGAAGATGGATCACCGATCTCACTCTGCAACACCTGAAGTCGCAAGATTCAGCAGAATTTCCGCATTGACTGCCCACAAAACAAATTACTGATCTTTATCAAAGTAAGAACTAGTCTCAGCACAACAATAAGAAACTGCTGCACCATGCTGAACAGTTTTTCACAACTTAGACAGGATAAAAATCTATGAAAAATGCTCATAATGTGTCAGAAAAATCACTTGAAACATATGCCTAGCTGTTTTCTAAAAGACATGCACTCAAAGGTAATCTGTGCAGGTTTTAACCTAGCATAGAGTGGGAATAGCACTGTGTGGAAACATACTGTAAATAATCTGTTAGCAAAAACGGATGCTGTTAATAAGAATACCTTTATATGTCCCTCAGTGGGGAAACTGCATTATTGCAACAGCTCAAGGACAGAGGGTAGCCGCAGTAGCACACAAAAGATATCACACGAGAGTATAATTGTAAAATAACACAACCAAGATAATTATTGCACATAATAACAATAGTAGTAGTAGTAGTATTGCACATGTCAGTGATAATCTAAAACTCAATCTACAAGGAAGGAAAGGTAATCAGAGTTGGCGTCGAGGAAACACACACAGGAAATAACAATGTTAACATATTTCAAAGCCCTTTAATCTTCATCTGGCTTTGAAGAAAGAAATTCCAATTTTATCTGAAAAAAAAAAAGATTATCTAAACCTGAGACCATGGTCTTGATTCGGAAAAGGGCAGAATGCCTTCTCCGGGTCAGGGATGATATCCTGCCCCAAGTGGAGGAGTTTAAGTATCTCGGGGTCTTGTTCACGAGTGAGGGAAAACTGGAGCGTGAGATCGATAGGTGGATCGGTGCTGCATCTGCAGTGATGCGGGCGTTGTACCGGTCTGTCGTGGTGAAGAGAGAGCCGAGTCAGAAGGCGAAGCTCTCGATTTACCGGTGGATCTACGTTCCTACCCTCACCTATGGTCATGAGCTTTGGGTAGTGACCGAAAGAACGAGATCCCGGATACAAGCGGCCGAAATGAGTTTTCTCCGAA